ACAGAGAGACAGACAGATGTACAGCAACAACAGTAGCAACAACTACATTAATAGTAGTATGAGACCAACTGTTATAGAAAGGTGTTGACATGGGCTATAATGTGAGCATAGTCACCAAGGGGTGGGGGGGGGGGGGGGACAGACACAACTAAAAAGGTCAAATCACAACACAGACACATTCACAGAGAGACAACTTTGTTTGTTTACAAAATACCTTTCTTATAGCTGTCCAGTCTTCAAGAATATCGAGATCCTGCAGCATGTAGACGATATAAGGCCGTAACAGAGCGGTTAAGGAAGAATCTGTCTTAACAGTACATCACTGAAGGGCTGCAGCAAAGTGTGGTGCAGATGAATGATGGGGGGAATGAGACAAGGACGGGACAAAGGGAAAAGGATATCGGAAACAACAACAGGCTTCTTCTTCTTGACAGGGCAGAATGGGTCCTTCTTCTTGTTTTTCCGCGAGTGCAATCCATCATTCCACAACTCTGGTAGAGAAAGAGGACAGGTTAGAGAGAGGAGAGTTTTGATTAAATGTTATACTGATTGTTCTAAATACCAAATATTATTTACTGATGAACAAAAATGAATGTGAGGAATGCTTTTCTCTATTTCCTAACATAAGAACTGAATACTGCGGGCTTTAGGGATGCTGGCCAGACTTTAGGATGTCCCTGTCCAACCTCTGGTGGATTGTATAAAGTAAATGATGAATGAATGGATCAAAACAATATTATTTTAGACAGCTGTTGGTTGCAGCCCTCGTTGGTACCTGAGGTAATGTCAATACTGTGTCTGTCTTCCTCCAGTCGTCTTATCTTCTCCTCCAGTTCACTCTGCACCGTGTCAAACAGCAGCAACTTCTCACTCTGGGAGACAGAAACAAATAGTCAAAACACACTGGTTGGAAAACCACGGTCAGAAATCATCTCCAGAAGCAGTAGACTAAATTCAGTTTGTTTAGGTGGTGGACTCTGTGGCGAAAACCAAAGCCTCCAAAGTTAAAGTGAATTTCCCACATTGTAAAGGCAGAAATCCGGTTGGACAAAATGTGTTCGGACGTGCAAACCTAACCCTCACATAAGCTGTGACTCATTCGTTGACCTCTCACCTCCCAGTGTTGGCAGGCAGCCTGGATCTCACACTCATACTTGTTCTTCACTGACTCCAAGCACAGCTCCCTGTAGATCCCTGTCACAAGCATTTAAACATGAAATCAATCTGAAACAGGCAGCAGGAAAGATGACACATCTTTTAAACTAATGGTCTATATAGCCTTTAAACTGCAAATAAAAACATATTAAACTTTAGTTCCATAAGATTAAAGATACACTTTATACACTTACTTGTACAACATGCTGTGTTTAGCTCTTTTCCAATATACTTTATGGTTTTTATGATCAAAAAACACCTTTTTGTCCTCACTGTCATAGGTAGCTGACATGTAAAGAGTCACTTCCAAGTATATTCCATAATATTATGGAACATTACATTGACCCACCGGCCACTTTGGTCCTGATTTGCATGTTCTCCTGCAGGTTGGCTAAAGGCTCCAGGTACTCCTGGGCACAGCCGGCCATTACCTCCTGCAGCTTGATGTCCACCTGGCTCAGACGCTCCTTGTACAGCCTGAAATAAGGAGGCAAAGCTCATCAATGAATGGGCCTACACTGGCTTGTATGTGCATGTATTACACTGAGCTGAAGAATATAATAACATCTTGTGAGCAACTTCAAAACACTGCTGAGAAACATTGTGTTCTTGTCTCTTGAGAACAGGAGGCTGAGAGAGTATCCCAGGCAGCATCAGCAGAAGTTCCCCATAAAGTGCACTGTTAGTTCAGAGCAGACAGCAGTAGGTGAAGGCTGGCTGGAAACAACATGGAGGAGGAACTTACTGCTCCTTCAAGTCGGTGAACTGTTTCTCCAGGGTGGTCATCTCATCCAGACACTCCATCCTCCTCCTCTCACAGTCCTCATCATCCATCTCTGTTCGCATAAACACATGACAGCTTTGACTTCACCTCCCAATATCAACCACCACCATCACCATCATCATCATTATCGTCTACCATAGTAGCCTCTCCACCCTCTCCCTGGTCAAAGTTCTCAACATTAACAGCACATCATGACCAACCCGTGTCCGACCGATGTGCCATTAATGACCCGAGCTGTGTGTTGATATGTAAGGCCTGTATTTCCTACCCGAGCTGTCTCCATCTTCAGACACGGACGAGCTGACGGTGTCCTCCTCGTCCGTGCTGCTGCCGTCTTGCTCGGGAAAGTCCACCTCCATTTCTTCGTGGTTGCTTTCTTTCTTCTCCCGGGAGTGAACCGGCATTGCGACGTCCAGAGAAGCCGGCGTTAACGTGGCGGAGGGGCTGTTCGGTAATTTCAGCCCGAATAAAAAGGTAAATGTACCTCAGACAGCTAACCGGTTAGCTAGCTCGCATCTAGACAGCTGGTAATGCAAACATGGCCACCGCCGGCCAATAACACGGAGCTTTACTGAGTCTGTCCAATCAGATGTTGGTATGGTTGCTACGGAAAGAGTTTAGGGATTTGTAGTTTTTTTTTTTTTTACTTTTTCTGAAAACCAACACATAGGCCCTACTGTATGTGCAGGTATATAACTACATTGTTGTGTTTTTTAGGTATATGGAAAGTCTGATGGCTGAATGTAATGCTTCTTTACTTTATGCTTTACTTTACATTTACATGCTACTTACTCTTTAACCACTGAAAGCGACTTAAAATCTGTGCTTAATTTCAACAGAATAATAATAATCAAAATCGTATAAATGCCTATAGGGAACGTCATTCTTTTATTACTTTTTATTTTTTGTGAGGTGCCTTTATGAGGCCTTTTCTTTCTTATATCTTTTTTTTGTTTTGATCTTACCAGCACAATTATGGTTATGATTTCATTCATGTGTTCTAAGTCGCCATTTTAATGGTGGTGTAAGCTGTAACTAATAGCTTTAATAATGGTTAATACTCATTTTCTAATGCTTTATAGAGCTTTATATGGACAGTTTGACCCTGGACATTCTGAAACAGGACTATAGGGCATCAGTACCTGAATTCAGTAACATTCACAACTGCATACTGGGATTATTCAGTTATTCCAGTGTGTAACATTTAGGGAGGGATCTATTGCTCAGAAATGGGAATATTAATATTCAGTTTTAGGTATGTTTTCATAGTGGTATAATCCCCTGAAAATAATGTTTTTTTCCTACATGAGCCGTTTTTATCTACAGACGGAGCAGGTCCTTTTCTACATCCACCATTTTGAACCGACATGTTTAGTAGGCCCGAATGGACAAACCGAACACTGGCTCTAAATAGCAGTGTTCACGTTTTGCATGAGTTTCCCAGCCACTGTAGTTTCTCCTACACAATGGACCAGGAACCCATTATTCATTTTTATTAACATTTAGAACTGCAGATAGCTTACGGTTTTGCTGATGGCTTAATAGAAAGCAACAAACACTTTCATCCTTCATTAATGATTTATTAACATTTATAACTGCAGCCTTGATGGTTTATTGTCCTTTATTGGTTACTAACAGTTATTAGAAAACCCAATCAATTACCATTCAAAAGGCAATGATTTTGTACAACCTGGCCATCTGAAAGTTGTTGTTATTGATGGCTCCTAACTGATCAATAAAGCATTAGTAAATGGTTTAGTCTATAACATTAATCATTAAACATGAAGGCATTATTAACAATTTATATATATAAAGGGAGGCTTATTAGAAAGTGGTAACTTTCTATGGATTATTGTCCTATTACTTGTGCAAATCAAGACTAAATCTACAGGAGCCAATACTGTTGAAGATGTTGAGGTGGGTGGGTAGTATACCGCAGAGGAGGTATCATATGTGCTGACTGCTGACTCATGTGTTAGTCCTGCCGGTCCAGACTCAAAGATATTGAATACATGCTGTCAGTGCCATCATCACAGCCTGTCTGAGAACTTGAATACCTTTTTTTGGCACTGGAAGCAGACAGGAGGTTTTCACAGTGAAGGCACCCTGTACAGCTGCAGGGATATGTTGAAGAGGTGCCAGAGAGCCTTTCTTAGTTGACTGGCAGATGATTCAAGCACCCCGGGGCTAAAGCCGTCACAACTTGCTGCTTGACTCTCTTCTCACTCACCTGGGTGGCATTGATGGACAGACTGAGGAGTGGGTGGAAGCTGCAGCTCTGGTGGTGTCTAACAGTGTGATGGACAGATGGAAGTGTGGGACTAGTTTATAGTGCTGGTTGTTCACACGTATATAGATATAACATTCATAAGTTTACTGAGTTTGAACCAGAAATTATTAGGAAAGAAGTCAAGAGAAAACAGTTCTAATCTTGTACTTCTTATATGTTTAACCTGCTTTTTGGGGTTTACTTAAAGCTGTATAATACACAAACACCACAGTGAGTATGGCCAAAATGATACATGCAAACACCAGTCATTTGACCATATAAATATCAATACATTGTGCCTGAAAACACCATAAAAAGCATTTTTGAAAGCAGTATTTTTCCTGTTCTGGAAATCAGTTGTTTTCACATTTCTTAAAGACAGATATCTCCTCATATGTAGATTTGTCTTAGATTTCAGTTCATATATTATCTGACTTATAACATAAAACAATTAGATTTGAATCTATTTTGCACACAGGGCTGGGGAATATGACTGATATATACTGATGACATATTTTTTTATTTACTGTTATTGTTCGTTCGTCGTCCTGGATCTATTTTTTCATTTTTGTTTTACAATCTGTATATTTCTGTATTTTTGTCTTCAAAATGTGTACATACTGTGATTTTAAAAAATCTATTCTGTACACACAAAATCTATTGCATTTGTGTCTGTCCTGCAAGAGGGATCCCTCCTCTGTTGCTTTTCTTAAGGTTTCCTCCATTTAAAGGGTTAAAGGGTTATTTTTGAGGAGTTTTCCTTATCTGAATCGAGGGGTTGTATTCTTTACAGATTGTGATTTGTGATACTGGGCTGTATAAATACAAACTAACTTGACTTGAGATTTTACCATACCATTTACACCGATAGGTAATTATGCCTAATATTTCTGAGTATATTATACCATTGTTCTATATGTAAATATTAACAAATGTTGTTTCAATGTAATAAAGTATCTTGATCTCTTCTTTCCAGACATTTATTAGCTGGATTAGTAAAAAAAAAAAGAAGTAATTTCCTGTCTGGTTATCCTACCTATAGTTTCTCAATTGATTTTCCAGAAAATTTACTATATAGCAATATAAAATTACATATACTTTGAGAGAGGACTTTATTCACATTGCATGCTCCTATTTGTGGGTATTTTTAGTGCATTTTATGCAACTGACAGGTCCACCGACGTTTCAACCACAAGAGGCCAGTAAAGACCTTTGCTAGGTGGTTGAACAATAGCTCCCAGTTCTTCAAGTTGAATCCATTCCTGAAGAGTAAAATTGATTCTAGGTCTGAAACTGGAAGAATTCATAAGAATGATAAAATAGCAACTTTAGAATCACCAAATGAGCATGATTTAACACTGGCTGTCTCTATACATTGATGAATGAAAGGAACACAAATAATGAACATAAATGCTTGCTATATATGAATGCTCTAAAAATGCCCAGTGCTATTATTAATATGTTGCCCTATTCGAGTTTCATGTTGAAAAAATGAACATGAAGTCAAACCAATGTGTGTTGTCATTAATAGACAAAACAAGAAGCTGGAGTTTTTTTGCGACCTAAAAGTTGACAGGGGACCTGCTCAGACCTCACAAAATGCACAAATGCATATGAGAATATTAAAGATTTTGCTCAGTCGGTTTGCGGTTTGTCTTATAGTCTCACTATTTCCGTGGTGTGTTGCACAGTGCCAGTCAGATCCATTTTCACACTGCTGTAAGTGTGTCAGGAAACTTTGCTGGTCTAATTTGTATTTAGGGCAGTACAGTGTGATTGCAGAAAGTCTGAGTTGTTTGTGGTTTATTTCATAATACTGAGCTTTTTTTTCTCATAGTCTCATACAGTCCAGAGTAGAGACTGCTGACACAATGGGCTATCAATAAAGCTGCACACAAAGGAATGTAGGAGAAACTCAAGAATGAGAGTACAACCAAACAGTGAACCACAGTTTATGGTCAACAGGCATGTTTTCCAAGTCTCCTCCAATTTTATTACTTAAAGCTGTACTAAAACGGCAGCCTGGAAGAAGTTCTAGCACAGTATTATTTGTATTGTCTTAACCACTTTGCATGTGCACTCACAGGACAGTCGGCATCGTGATAACAACATATAATCAATGTAAATCTGTGACCTCAAACCATACTTTCTTACACGAGCTGCATGCCATACGTTTTATCTTCTGGTGTGATGTTAGTTCTGTAGTTTCAAAAATACTTTAACCTTTCATATTGTTGTGGCTTCATTTGAAAGAGAGTTCTAAGAATCTTGGTGATTTATCTTTCACAACAAACCTAATGCTGCAATTCTTGACTCGACTTGCTTCCAACCATTGAAAAATTATTATAAAAAAACAAATTGAAGTTGGTCTCTGATGCTTTTATCTTATCTCCTTTGAACTACTGCAGCTCCCCCTATTCATGCCTCAAAAATCACTTACATCTCTAGCTTGTTCAATATGCAGCAGCAAGTATTTGAATTGAGGCCAAGCAAAGTGTTTATAAATCCCCAACATTAGCAGTCCTCCTCTGCTAACCACCTATACAGCTACATTCAAATTTTAATGATCATGTTTAAACCCATTTAACTAGTTGCATTACAGAGCTGTTGGTTCTACATGTGCACAGACTGAGATCCTCCGACCCTTGTGGCTTACTATTTCATTATCATCTTTAACTGTCTTTCGATGTGGTTCTTTTCAAAGTTTCCACTGGGGCTGAGCAGGGTTTTTTCACAATATGATCACAATATCAGCTTAAAAGGGATGGGAAATATGCCTATTTGCTGTCTAGATTAGAAAATCAATACCAAACTTGAATGTGTATGCTAAATATGAGGCTATAGTTAGCAGCCGGTCATCTTAACTTAGCATAAAGAAACAGGGGGAATCAACTAGCCTCCAAAGGTAAAGAATATTCTGCCTACAATACCAAAATCTCTAAAGCTCACTAACTAACATGGTATACCTAGTTTGTTCAATTCATAAGTCTAAAAACAAAAATTTCTGGTCAGCTGTTGTTTTTCAAGTATTTATGCTAAGCTAAGTTAAGTGCTTGCTGGCTCGAGCTTCATATTAATTGCTCAGACGGGAGAGTGGTATCGATTCATCTAACTTAGTGCAAGAAAGTAAATAAGAGTATTTCCCCAAAAGTTGAACTATACCTTTGAAAAAAATAGAAATCTCAAAGAAAAATCTCTCGAAACATCTGAAAAATAAAACCAAAATCTGCTTGGCTGGATAGTACCAGGAAATATGCTTTTTTTTTTT